AGAGAGAGAGAGAGAGAGAGAGAGAGAGAGAGAGAGAGAGAGAGAGAGAGAAAAAGTAAGAAAATACATTTAGTTCAAAGAGTGAGATTAGGAAGAAGTCACATTTTCACTGTTAAAAAAAAAGGAGATATGACAAGAAAGCACTGAGGTCATGAGATTTTTTGCTGTCTGTGGCTGGGTACCTATTCCCACCTGGGTGAAGTGAGGAAAATCTGTACTGTAAAGTGCCTTTTCCGAGAACACAATGTCCGGACTGAGGCTCAAACCCCTGAACTCGCAATCTCACGATTATGATCCCAGTAGACTACGCACAAGATCATCGACACCCGTGAGACTCCTGAGATAAGGAGTTCATAGGCAGCTTGCACTGTATGCTTCCACAGAAGCCGAAAATGTTTCGGAATGTTCTAGGATCTGCTGGGGTGATAATGATATTGACTGTAAAGTGCAAAGAGCTTGCTTTGTACAGGAATATGCACTATACAAATGATATCTATTATTATTAATTTATTACTTATTAATTTATAACTTATTAATTATTAATCTATAACTTATTAATTATTAATTTATTACTTATCAATTATTGATTTATTATTTATTAATTATTAATATTTATCTTTTTAAAATCATTGTTTATTCGTTATTCATAATTATTTATTAATTATTATCATCATTTATTTATTATCTAGTTATTCACTATCTATTTATTCATGATTTATTTATCATTTACGATGAAGAGCCGACCTTGAGCTGATACTCCTGTTGGGCCAGGATCTCCCTCAGCCGGTTCTGTTCCTCCAGCAGCATAGACCGCTGCTTCATCAGCTCCCGCTTCCGTTCCGGCGCCGACATCTGACGGGAAAGGACAGACTGACATGTTTATTTTCATATCAGCTGCTCCGTGTAATAGGCGGGGGATTGGTGTAATAACTGGAGGATTGGTTCAGTTCAACTTCCGGCGGCTTCAGTGCACACTATCAATAGACCAACTGCTCATACATTGATGGCCATTTTCCCTCTGAAACCAGGCCACCCCCCCACCTCCTTCAAACACAAATGTCTCGACTTCTATTGAAGCCAGATGGATAATTTTTTTCAACGAAAGCACGAAAATTGAACAAGCTTTAAGATAATACCAATTATAACTCTGAATTAGTTTAGTAAAGAGTTTTACGGCATTAGAGGTGTTACAAGAGAGTAACAACAAACGTAAAAAAGAAGGAGAGATAAGGACGATAGATGCTTAAGAGGAAAGAAGGAGCAAACCACACCAGAGCACCCGCCAACCACCCACTAACTCTGAATGCCCAAAAATTGACGAGCGCCTGATTCCATCGAGTCGTGCAACATATTGTCCAAGACTACCTGCATCTGAGGTGAATCAGTCACAGTCCAGAACATTTTCCCTGACACACACAAACTCAAAAGTCCACACCTTTACACACAAACATACACACACACAAACTCACAAGTCCACACCTTTACACACTTGTAAACATACACACACACAAAAGTCCACACCTTTACACACAAACATACACACACACAGACTCAAAAGTCCACACCTTTACACACAAACATACACACACACAAACTCACAAGTCCACACCTTTACACACTTGTAAACATACACACACACAAACTCACAAGTCCACACCTTTACACACTTG